AGGGCAGAGTTGAACTGCCCCATAGGGTTTCCAAGGAGCAGCTGGTGGATTCAAACTGCCGACCTTCTGGTTAGCAGCCATAGCTCTTAACCACTGCGCCAGCAGGGCTCCATTATTACTGTATAAACTTTCTCAAAATGGAGTTAATAATAAAAATATTTCACATTGAATAAAAACAAATTTGTAGCAGGATAAAGCAACCCAAAAACCAAACCCATTGCCATTGAGTTGATTCCCACTCATGAGTGACCCCATAGGTTTTCCAAGGTGATGAATCTCTATGGAAGCAGACTGCCACATGTTTCTCCTGAGGAGCCACTGGTGGTTTCAAAGCACTGACCTTTTGGTTAGCAGTCAATCAGTTTAACCACTGTGCCACCAAGGCTCCTTGGATAAAGTAAATCAAAGAACAATTCTGTTTTTGGCTTTCTACTCCTCACCTTGTTGGAAATACACTGCCATTTAATAGCGTTTAGCTTACAGAACTTAAGCCTAGAAACTTTGTTTATTAGGATGAGAAATTTACAGGGCTTTGAACCAATTCCTTCCAATTCTAACCCCTGCTAAGAATTTGCATTTCCACTCCAGATATCCTGAATTAGAATCTATATTTTAACCAGATCCTCAGCAGAGTCTTATGTGTACATAATACTCACCTGCAGGTCTTGTTAAAATGTAAATTCAGAGTGATTCAGTATATCTGAAGTAGAAATGCAAATTCTCAGCAGGGATTCAATCTGGAACGAACTAGTTTGAATGCCTGGAAGTTAATGGCTTGCAATACACTTTTTTACCCTTCAAGTACAAATTTTCCTAAAATTGGTATCCTGGAAATTAGCACAATACAAGCTTGTTTACTGATTTTTTGTAGGGGCTATGTAGGTATTCCTTCCATCTGTAGAAGAAATATATAGAGTCACTGTACCAACCAGAATTGGTGGACGCTCAACCATTACAGGAGGTAGCATATGATCAAGAACTGATGGTTCTGAAGGAAGGAGTCCAGGCTGACTGAAGGAATGCATTGGCAAAAAACAAGTGTCCAGAAATTGTCAGAATACCAGTTGAGATGTCTCAACAAATGGGTGCACCGCTGAAGGTGCTCACTTGTCTATGCCAAGAAATTTGGAAGACAGCTACCTGGCACAACCAACTGGAAGAGATCATTTTTGTGCCCATTCCAAACAAAGGTGATACAACAGAATGTCAAAATTACCAAACAATATCATTAATATCACACGCAAGTAAAATTATGCTGAAGATAATTCAAAAACAGGTGCAGCAGTACATTGACACGGAACTGCCAAAAATTCAAACCAGGTTCAGAATAGGACATGGAATAAGGGATATCATTGTTGATGTCAGATGGATCTTGGCTGAAAGCAGAGAATACCAGAAAGATGTTTACCTGTGTTTTATTGACTAGGCAAAGGCACTTGACTGTGTGGATCATAACAAGTTATGCACAACATTTCCAAGAATGGGAATTCCCGAGTACTTAATTGTGCTGATGAGGAATGTGTACATAGACCAAGAGACAGTTGTTTGAACAGAATGAGGGGATAGTGCATGGTTTAAAGTTAGGAAAGGTGTGCATCAGGGTTGTATCCTTTCACCATACTTATTTAATCTGTATGCTGAGCAAATAATCCGAGAATCTGGACTATATGAAGAAGAACGGGGATTCAGGATTGGAGGAAGACTCATTAACATCCTGCGATATGCAGATGATACAACCTTGCTTATTGAAAGCTAAGAGTATTTGAAGCATTTACTGATGAAGATCAAAGTATGTATTACAGCCTTCAGTATGTATTACACCTGAACGTAAAGAAAACAAAAATCCTCAGAACTGGACCAATAAGCAACATCATGATAAACGGAGAAAAGATTGCGGTTGTCAAGGATTTCATTTTGCTTGGATCCATAATCAGCGCCCATGCAAGTAGCGGTCAAGAAATCAAACGATGTATTGCGTTGGGCAAATCTACTGTGAAAGACCTCTTTAAATTGTTGGGAAGCAAAGATGTTACTTTGAGGACTAAGGTGCATCTGACCCAAGCCATGATATTTTTAGTCAATTCATATGCATGTGAAAGCTGGAAAATGAATAAGGAAGACTGAAGAAGAATTGATGACTTTGAATTACGGTTTTGAAGAATACTGAATATACCATGGGCTGCCAGAAGAATGAACAAGTCTGTCTTGGAAGCGAAGATGACAAGATCTCATCTCGTGTACTTTGGACATGGTATCAGTAGGGACCAGTCCCTGGAGAAGACCATCATGCCTGGTAAAGCAGACGGTCAGCGAAAGAGAAGAAGACCCTTGATAAGATGGATTGACATAGTGGATGCAATAATGGGCTCAAACAACAACGATTGTGAGGATGGCCCAGGACCAGGCAGTGTTTCGTTCGGTTGTACATAGAGTCACTATGAGTGCGAAGTGACTCGAGGGCACCTAACAACAACAACATATACGTTTTTTGTTTCTTTTTTTTTTTTTTTTA